TTTTCTGATAAAGTCCTCCTATAGGGCCTCGCTGGTGGCGCAAGGGGTTAAGACGCAACCTATGAAGCTATCCACAGTCACTGCAGCAGGAGTGGCAGAATCCCCCCTGGCTGGGTATTGAACACTGCTGCTCCCCTCAGCAGTGTATTTCAGCCATTCTGTTCCCCATTCTGTCTCTGGTGAATCCTCTCACCCCCCAAACCTCTGGCCTGTACTCCAGTTCTTGTATGCACAAATAAATCTTTCAAAAAAAAGTCCTCCCATAGAGGAACATTAACTTTTTATTTAGGTTTTAATTTATGTCTTTTTAATAAAGTTTCATAATTTTGTACTTACAAATCCCATGCCTGCCTTCCTAGGGTTTTTTTTTTTTTTTTTTTCAATTTTTTTTGTTATTTCTTCCATCTCCATTTTGCCTAGAGGAGGAAAACTATAAATTAGGTTCCTTAATTTCATTCAGCCACTACATTATCTTGTTAATTCTAGTAGCTTATTCTTTTTGGATTTCCTAGGAATACAGTATCTCTTAAAAACCTAAATTTTTACTTTTTGTTTATATGGGGAAGTTCTTCTTTGGCTCAGTCAATATGCTATGTTGTTATGCTATCCTCTGTAGCTTTTTCCTGACAGCAGGCACCTGTTGCTGCTGCCCTAGAATGCTTTAAGTGGCATCCAAGGAAAGAGACAGAAGCTTTCCTTGAGAATATTCCATGATTGCTTTGTTCAGGTGTCACAGATGACAACACAATACAGTGGTTCCTGGTTACTTAGCTTTTCTATGCCACAATTTAAAAGAGTCATTTATGCTCATTTCTTGAGCTTACTTGCTGTAATCATACCAGTTAAGTTCCCACTTGGTCTCTTCCACCAGCAGATAGGCCCAGTAGAGAGTCCCATCTAGGCATACTTATTCTGATATTACCCCTACTCTTTGAAAGACAGCCATATGCAGAGAGGATTTCCCTGCCCTCCCTCTCTTATGAACTAATCTCAGTCACTATTTTGTTTGTTTAAAGCACCAATCATATTGGCAGGTATATTATTATTGATTTTTAAAAATTATTTATTATGCCTCCCCAAGATAGACCACACCTGTTAAAAAGAAACAACAGTCACAAATGGAGACACTTGTACTAAGATTCACCAAGACTTTTTAAAAAAAGATTTATTTTTATATTTTTATGCATTACAAGAGCCGGGGTGTAGGCCAGAGATACAGGGGGAGAGAGAGGAGTCACCAGAGACTGAATGAGGAGCAGAACAGGCCGACTGACTGAAATACACTGCTGAGGGGAGCAGCGGGCAAGACAGGAGAGGTCTGCTGCACTATGTGGGTCAGCTCCCTGGCTGGGGAGCCAACTGTGCTGAGACTTAACCCCTTGCACCAATATGGAGGGCCTCCAAAATCCACCAAGACGTTAATACCTAGCCTACATGTGGTTTCAACTTTTCCCGAGAACACAGTCTTAACTGGTCAATGTGGAATTTTCTAGTCAGCACCAATGTGGTAATCTTTTCCATTACCCAAAGAAAGATGAGATCATCTGCCATAACATCTTTCTCCATCCTCCCCCTCCCCCAGGTAGGATGCCTAAATCTGAAATAATTCCCTTTTCCCTTGCCTTCTTTCTGCCTATAGAAACCTTTCATTTTGTGGATTAAAGAACTAGACATAAGACCTGAAACCATAAATTGCATAGAAGGAAATATAGGCGAAACACTACATGATATGCACATCAAAGACATCACCCAAAGCAGTAATAGTGAAGGCAAAGATAAACAGCTGGGACTACATCAAATTAAAGAGCTTCTGGGGCCTCCCCGGTGGCGCAGCAGTTGAGCGCTGGGTTGCGAAACTGTGCGCGGCCTCTGCGGCGCCGGTTCGATCCCCGGCTGCTCCCCGGCCACCGGAGGAGGGTCCCGCATGGCGCGCAGACCTCTCCTGCCGCCCGCTGCTCCCCTCAGCAGTGTACTTCGGTCCTTCTGCCTGCTCTGCTCCCTGCTCTGGCTCTGGTGAATTCTCTCACCCTCCCTCCTGCGCTTCTGACTGTACCCAGTGCATGTATAAACAAAACAAACAAACAAACCAGCAAACAAATAAATAAAGCATGCCTCTATAAAAAAAAAAAAATAAAGAGCTTCTGCACAGCAAAAGAGATAATAACAAAAACAAAGAGAAACCCCACCGACTGGGAGAACATTTTTGCTCATAACACTAATGATAAAGGACTGATCACAAAAATCTACAAAGAGCTGATGAGACTCAACAAAAACAAAGAAAATAATCCAGTCAAAAAATGGGCAGAAGAACTAAAAAGAAGCTTCTCTGAAGAGGAAATGCAAATGGCCAACAGGCATATGAAAAAATGTTCAACATCACTTGTAATCAGGGAAATGCAAATCAAAACTACCATGAGATACCATCTTACACCAGTGAGAATGGCACATATTAAAAAAAGTAGCAACAACAAATGTTGGTGAGGGTGTGGAGAAAAAGGAACTCTCTTGCACTGTTGGTGGAAGTGCAAACTGGTCCAACCACTATGGAGAGCTGTGCAGAGGTTCCTCACACTACTAAAAATGGAGCTTCCATATGATCCAGCAGTTCCACTCCTAGGTATTTACCCAAAGGACACAAAAACATCAATTCCAAAGAGCACCTGCACCCCTATGTTTATAGCAGCACTATTTACAATAGCTAAGCTTTGGAAACAACCCAAATGCCCAAAAATAGATGACTGGATCAAGAAGATGTGGTACATATACACCATGGACTATTACTCAGCAGTCAAAAAAGATAAACACATGCAATTTGCAGCAACATGGATGGAGCTGGAAGGGATCATGCTCAGTGAAATAAGCCAGAAAGAAAAAGAAAAATACCGGATGGTCTCACTCATAGCAGGAATCTAGAAAACTTAAATAAGGGACCAGGAAAAAGAATAACTACAAGAAAGAAAATATCAAAATCAACAAACAACTATGAACCAGAGACACTCTATGGGGGGGGGGGCGGGGAAAGGAGGGATTGGAGTCAAAATAAGGGGGTTGTAATTGTATGGGGAATATAAAAATAAAATTAAAAAAAAAAGCCTTTCATTTTGTAGTTTTTCAGAGCACTTTTCTACCTGCTAAATGGAATGTTACCCAATTCATGATTCATTTAATAAAGTCAATTAAATCTTTATACTTAATTGTATTTTTGGTGAAAGCTGGAACAACTTGAATTTTATGTGTTTATTTTTTATATTAATTTTTTTATTTTTTTACATCATTGTTCATTTTTAAACAATATTTGCTTCCTCCCACCCCCTCAGGTGTAGTCCCCAGAGTTAACTTGAAGTTTTTTAATGGCAGAAAAAACAAATGATACCACCTTTATGAAACGAAATTTGACAATAAGCAGGATTATGTGTGTTTTAATCCTTTTTTCAGCAATAATAGCATATCTAAGTACTATTTCCAGTATATTGATATTGTTAAAGATTATGTCACAAGTCTATTTGTTACAACTTTTATAGGTAATACCAAGAATTGAAATAACAAACTGTCCATCAGTAAAAGATTAGTTGACTAAATGTATGTTCACACAGTGATGTACCCCGTATCTGTTGAAAGGAGAATGATCTCAGGGATACTTTTTTTTAGCTTTATTGAGGCATAATTTGTATGCAAAAAGTGGTAATATACATCCATATTACCATCTCCACAATCAAGGTGAACATATACATCACCTTCAAAAGTTTAAAAAAACTCTCTGGCATCAGAGAATTTCACATGACTTATTTATCATATTACTGTAGAATTTACTAGGTGAAACACCTAGTTAATTCTTCAATAACTATTTGTTGGCTTAATGAATGTTAAATTTTCTTAAAAATAATCAACATGTATAAGTACTTCTTTATTCCAACTGTTACTAGGAATAGTAACTACTATTAATAGTAATAGTAACTACTGTTACTATAATAATATAATAGTAACTACTGTTATTAGTAACCTTGACAATTTTTCAACTAACATTAAAAAAGATCAGATTATCTAAAGTGAATGGGATTTCTGAAACGCAACATATTAAAAAAAAAAAAACAACAAACACAAAACCTGCAGAGACAATCGTGGAACTTTAACATCAAGGGAGAAGCCAAACAGGGTTTCTGTCGCAAATGTTCAAAATCTGCATTTGCTAGTGATGAGCTGTGATTTATTGTTTGGCCTTAAAAAATTGGTTATAAAGGCCAAAGTTTCATTTCAAATGCTTGAGAAATATTTTTACCACTTTCATTTTCTTTAGACTTACCGGGACGTTGCTACACAGGAACGGGGAAAGCTGTAGGTCGCCCAAACACAGGACATTTAGGCAAGTTTCAGTCTACCTACTTTGAGGGTCGACCAGTCTCCAAAAACGGTTTGACCTCAGTGGTATAATCTCACAAGGTTTTTGTTTTTTATTTCGCTTTCCTACTTTACCGCCTTCAGTTTATCAGTTGAGAAACATGTCGGTGAAACTCTCAAGCTGATGTCAAAATCACTATTTGAGTGATTACTTATAAAGGTCACTCTAGACAGGCATTTTCAGTGCTTCACGGTTACGCCATATATAAATTGGCAGTTAGCGGAGGCAATTTTTTAAAAATATTTTTTAAATATTTAAAATATTTAAATTTTTCTTTATATTTGTTTATGGATAAAAGAACTGGGGTACAGGCCAGAGGCCTGGGGTGTGAGAGGATTCACCAGAGACAGAGTGGGGAGCAGAACAGGCAGACTGACTGGAATACACTGCTGAGGGGAGCAGCGGGTGAGACAGGAGAGGTCTGCTGCGCCACGTGGGTAGCTCCCCGGGCCAGGGATCGAACTTGTGCTGCAGAGGTTGCGGACCGCTTCACAGGTTGTGTCTTAACCCCTTGAGCCACCAGGAAGGCCCAGCGGAGGCAGTTATGTTCGACAAAACACCGACTAATTTCTCACAAATCGGTGTTTACCTGTGCCCTACGTACCCAAGCCTCGAAGACTTCCCGGAATACTTCCCGCAGCTTGGGACCCCAGCGGCCGCAGAAAGACAGGAAGCGCACGCCCCGGTCCCTCGGCGGCGCGCTCGCTGGTGCATTGTGGGTGCTGTAGTCCGGCTGGAACCTGCGCGCGACTACAAGTCCCGTGACCTTGCCACTCCTTCGCAGCCTAGCCCGTAGTCCCCCTCCGCGGCCTCGGCTGGGCCTCCCGGGCCCCGGGTGAAGCGTTCCGGCTAGTCAGCTGTTTCTCCCCTGGGCACTCGAGGCGGAAGCCCGAGGGGCGCGGGGAGGAGCTTCGCGCTCTGGGTGAACGCCCGTCTGACGCGCTCGTTGGCCTCGCGACCGCTGCGCGCGAGCCGGGTGTCCCCGCGGCGGGCGGCGGCGGTGGTACGCGGAGGGGGCGGAGGGAGCCCGCGCAGGCGGCGGCGGCTGCGGCACTGAAATGGCGGAGACTGTGGCGGACACCCGGCGGCTCATCACCAAGCCGCAGAATCTGAACGACGCCTACGGGCCGCCCAGCAACTTCCTCGAGATCGATGTGAGCAACCCGCAGACGGTGGGGGTCGGCCGGGGCCGCTTTACCACCTACGAGATCAGGGTCAAGGTGAGGCTGACTTTCCCCTCTCGAAAGACCCCTCTCGCCGGCCCAGGTCGCCCCCAACCGACCAGGAGCGGATCCTTGCCGGCTGCCGCGGCCGCCCGGGCTGGGAGCCCCCGACTGCCGCGGTGGGAAAGTCCTGTCCACGGCGGGGTCGCGGCCGGGGCCCCCCTCCGTGGAGGGTTTCCTTGGGGGCGTCTAGAGTGAGCCCGCGGTGGCACTTGGAGAAGGTGCTGGAAGACGAGGGCGTGGGTTGGGCGCCGCTGGCCCCTCCGGCAGCCGATCTGGGAATGACATTTGAGCTGGAAAGGGGTAGATCTTTCCAGAACACATCCTTTCACCGGGAGGGGAGGTAGATGTGGCTGAGAGACGGGGTTTGCGCATAGTTGAAGCTGCCCGGTTTTCTTTTGCTGGAGACTTTCCCCGGAGATGGTCCAAACACGGGGGTTGCTCCAGGCCTTTCCCGAGCTACCAAGCCTAGGTTGTACACTCGTGTGGACAGAACCTAAAGGGAGTTCACAGAAGCCTGACGAATTGGGTAGGGCTGAGCCAGGCCAGTAGCGTGATTGGAAATGAGTGACCATAGCGCTGTGGGCTACCTTTGTGCTAAAGGGTAAGGTGTGGGGATTGTCGCCTACCTCATAATCCAAAACTACAAATGCTTTAAGAAAAGCCTAATCAAGTAGGGATTTTGCACTCTTAATTTGGAGATTTGCACTTCACTGAATGAAGGAATCAGTTGAAGTAGAAACACACTTATAATTTCATAACTAGTATTTGTTGGCAATAAGTAATTCACATGATTTGAAAGATTAGTAATTGAGAATAGTGCTTCACTTTCATTCTAGTTCAGGATTAAAGAACTTGTTCATGTATGGAAGTATGTTTTTAATTAATTGCACAAAACGAATCTAGCTGTTAAAGACAACAAATTATTAAAATTTAAGCATAAGAATTTAGCCTTAGAGTAATCAAAATTTACATAGCGAGTTACTATTAATATTTAAGTGGAGTGCTCATTGACTTATGTGCTTTTTTGTGTAGTTAAAAAAACAACATAAACCTTACCATCTTAACCATTTTTAAGTATACACTTCAGTACTGTTAAGTATAGTTACATTGTTGTGAAATGTAAGCTATTTTTGAAAAGTTATTTACTTAGGTAATGTTGAAAAATTTATTAATCAGCAGGCTTTAAGATATGAAAATGTTTAATATTACAACTCACCCTGTCTCCCTAGGGATGTGTAAAGTGTGAGCCATAAATAGTGTTGGAGCAAAACCGCAAAATCCAGGCTCCTGTATGGCTTGTGAAGTACATCAGCATGTAAATCTAGTAAAAAAGAGAGGCTTTCTTTCCAGCTTTAGGAATGATTTTGGGTTCCCTTAAATATAAGGCAGGTGTTTCAATCAAAAGAACTTCCTCTTTTACCTTTATTGGCCAGCATGCTTTCCTTTATTTCTTGAGCTAAAACAGAACTTGGTATTCCTGTTTCTGAACTTCCATAGCTAGTACTTCCTGTCATACAACTGAAGCAGAATCTCCTGCCTACACTTCCTCTATTTAATTACTTTGTCTGTTTATTTTGCTAAGTGCATTATATTAAATGGGGTCTGGTACAATAATTCATTGTTTTAAAAATACATCTTATACCTCAGTACCAAATAGCTACTGTGACACTTAAAAATAGTCTCTGGCATTATTTGCATTTAAGAGAACAATCCATTTTAAGAGTGATTGATGAATTACTGAATTAACAAAGTATAAGTCTGCACTGGTTTGTATTTTTATATAAACCAGTTTGTTGAGTGCTGATGACTGTTACAGTTCCAAATGCAGGTGCCCTCTAAGAAAATGTAATCAAGTTTCTAATGCTTATGAAATGCCAGTGGGGTTAATTTTTTGTATGTAATGTGTGTAACAAGAAACTCAAGACACCATATAATAAAATATTGGATAATATTTAAGTAGAATGAGTTTTGAGAGTAATTAGTCTTGTATTAAGATAGAATGACCAATGAAATGGCTAGGTAAATCATTTTGTAATTTTACTACTATTTTTCTAAACTGTTGGTACTCTCCTAGCATGCACTATTTTGATGTTGAATTTGCCATTTGGCAAACAATTTAATATACCAGCATTTGGACTCCCAAACTGTCTTATAGTTGCTCTCTAATTCTGGTCTTGACAAAAACGTTCAATTTTATAGGATCTGATTGAAATTACTCTAAATCACAGAGTAATTTTATCTGGATGGTGGCACTTTAGAATGCAAGTTTCCTAATCTCCATTTATCTTTTGGTTTGAGGACAGTGTTTAAGACTATTAGGATCACTTGATTGATATCTCTGAGCTTTTTGAAAATAATTGGTACAGTGTTAATGTTTTTTAAATTGTTCTAATGGGTAGGTATATCAGAAAGCACTATAGTAATGAAAGGTTTAGGAAAGCTCAGGGTCTAGAATTATTTTGGCATATTAAAGGGAAGACTAAAGGGGAAATTCATTCATCGTTTATGAATTTTGTGCTATACTGTAGCTCAATTTTCAGGAGAGTTTAAATTAAGATCTATTATACCTAGAGACAGTGGTTTTGAATAGGAATGAAGTTAAGAATCTTTATTGAGCTCTAGGAGAGCTCTGAATTCAAATAGATTTATCTTTTTTTTTTTTTTTTAAAGATTTATTTATTTATTTATACAAGCACTGGGTATAGTCAGAAGCGCGGGAGGGTGAGAGAATTCACCAGAGCCAGAGTGGGGAACAGAACAGGCAGAATGACGAAGTACACTGCTGAGGGGAGCAGCGGGCGGCAGGAAAGGTCTGCGTACCATGTGGGACCCTTGCTCGGTGGCCGGGGATTGAACCGGTGCTGCAGAGGCTGTGGGCAGCTTCACAGCCCAGCACTCAACCGCTGCGCCACTGGGGAGGCCCAGATTTATCATTTTTTAGCAGAGTAAGGTACAAAACCTAAGTTCTGTTTTCCTCTGTCAAATAGGTATGATAAGAATACCTACCTCATAGGACTAACGGAGATAATGCTCATAAAATCTTTAGCACAGTGGCTAGTATATAATAAGCACTCAAAGTTTAACCTCTTTCTAAATGCAGATATCTTCTAATTTAAAAGTTAGTGATCAACTGTATTTTCTGTGTTAACACTCAGCTGATTTACTAAAATTGTAGGATTTCCTCACCAAGAAACCTACTTGGCATGAAAGTATATTTTCATTGAGGTACGTCCGGTATATAAAAGAATACTGTTTAGTATTTAACAAAATAGACTTAAAATGTTTTGAATTTTTACACATTTTGTGTGACTGGAAAATTGATTCATTGAGACCACACTAAATTTCACATTTTAAACCAAGAATTAATGGAATGCTCAATGTTTTAAGTTAGTATGTTTCCTTTGCTTGTGTTAGTATTTTCCCCAGTTTTATTGAGCTATAATTGACCTGTAATATTGTGTTAGTTGAAAGTGAAAATGATTTGATATAAGTATATATGAAGACATGATACTGCAGTAAGTCAGTTAACATCCCTCACCTCATACAGTTACAAGAGTAACCATTTGAAGTGAGGCAAATTAAAACAGAACTAATTGGTAAAGTTTACTGAAAAACATTTTGATAAGGGTGGTCAGTAAAAGTAGTGTCTAAGCTGTATTGGCATTTTTTTCTGGCCAGTTTTTCTCTGGGTGAGTCCTTGTATCTTAAATTGGGAGTCATTAATATCCAAGTCAGACCGAAAGCTAAGAAATAAATTCTAAGACTTGTCTTCAGGTTTTTTTTTTTTTTTTAAGATTTATTTATTTATGCATAAAAGAGCTGGGGTGCAGGCCAGATATGGCAGGGGTGGGTGGGGAGGGAGAGGATTCACGAAAGACAGAGTGGGGAGCAGAACAGGCAGATTGACTGAAATACACTGCTGAGGGGAGCAGTGGGCGAGACAGGAGAGGTCTGCTGCACCATGTGGGTAGCTCCCTGGCTGGGGATCAAACTTGTGCTACTGTGGCTGCTGATAGCTTCATAGTGCTCAGACTTAACCCCTTGCACCAACAGGGAGGCCCTGTCTTTAGGTTTTATATAAGCATATATTATTAGCCAAAAAATATATTTTAAAAATCAAGGACATATGAAGAATCTTTGTATCTTTATTGATTTGCCATAAGATGTCTGATGTATAACTTTGCCTCCAGCTACAGCTGATTGGCAGGATTTCCATCAAGGAAAGGTATTTAACTGGCCTTGAAGATTCTGTTCTTACCTAACCATCCCTTAGGATGGGTGAGAGGGAAGAGGTAGCAATTTAAAGGTTGCCCTGTTATATTGGCTTATTAGGGACTCTGTTCTGTATTATGCATTTTACCAGATAAAAGAATCAAGACACAGAGGTTGTCTCTCATCCAAAGTAAATTGTCTAATTAGTTAGATTTGAAGTATTCTGGTCCTGGTTCAGAACTGCTTTACAACTGCATTTCATTTAATTCAAAATAGCACATTAGGGCCTCCCCGGTGGCACAGCCGTTGAGCGCTGGGTTGCGAAGCTGCCCGCGGCCTCTGCAGCACCAGTTCTATCCCTAGCTGCTCCCCGGCCACCGGAGGAGGGTCCCACATGGCGCGCAGACCTCTCCTGCCACCCGCTGCTCCCCTCAGCAGTGTACTTCGGTCCTTCTGCCTGCTCTGCTCCCCGCTCTGGCTCGGTGAATTCTCTCACCCTCCCGTGCTTCTGACTGTACCCAGTGCTTGTATAAATAAATATTAAAAAAAAATAGCACATTAAACCTTTGTTATCTACAACCTAGTGTTGGGGTACCCTCAAGTGTCTAGCCCTTTGAAGGAAATTCCAGTGTTAGCATCCTTGAGAGCTGGGAGTTGACTTTCCAGTAATCCATAGTAGGTAAGATGCACCCAGGAGAAATAAAAACTAAAAAGAATTTACTGTTCTATTCTGTGATGAGATGGCCTGAAGAAAAAGTTTGGTAGATAGGCTAGTGATGCTT